CTAGCTGATAGCTGCCCTTGACTGAAAGCGGTCCCCCATGTTCTTTGTAAGTTTATGCCCTTAACCTCTATAGTACCACCAGGCGTCATTGAAACAACGCTCTCCCCAGCCCTACACACTTGAAGTTGGTAGCGGCACTCTGTGATGGTTTGGGACTACCGAATGCTTTGTTCTGAAAAACAGCGTCCCTGTTTTGCAGTATGGAAGAACTTACATGGGGTCCACGGCTCCGGCACCCTGAGCCCTAAACCCTCAACCCTAAACCCCATATAACCCATTGTAGTAGTTTTCATTTCATTCTCCATTTGATTCTCCATTATTGGGGGAAATATCCCTGAGCCCTAAACCCTAAACCCTAAGCCTCAACCACGCAAATCCCTCAACCACGCAAATCCCCAAACTTGACTTCTCAGACGAATTGCATCTTCCCCTCTCATGGCACGCCAGCGAAAGCAGCTCAGTTCTGCGCCGCTGAGTCAGAGATCTTGCCAGCCGGGCTGCCCGAGCTTTAGGGTTTTGAGTTTAGGGATAAGGTTTGCTTGGAACTCCTGGTACCCACCATTTCCTTACACTTTGGATTTCACACCTGCGCCCAATGGCTTCAAACCGTTAAACTGAAAAAAGTCACGTCACCGCTATAATGTAGAAGCAGGGGTAAACTGTGCAATGCGTACTTTCCAGGCCTGAGGTACAAAGCCTTGTCGATGTTTGTCTGGCCTTGTGTCATTGAGTGGTGGCGTTGGGACGATCTTGGTCCTTTGCTTTCTAGTAATGCAAGGACCGTGCTGATGCTTTGGGTACACAGGGGCCGGGCAGTAGGCTGGCCATCCCCACATCTAGAATGCCACCGTATGTTCCCCTAAGGGTTCAAGGACCCAAATAATAGGGTTTTAGGGCCCAACTGCTATAACATTAATGGTACTTGGGCCCTAAAACCCTATTATTTGGGTCCTGGGACCCTTAGATACACCCTAAACCCTCAACCTTATAGGGTTCAGTAGAAGCCAAGGGTGCCCGCGCTGTTGAGACAAGCATCTCTTTGCTTGAGTTCGCGGTGCACAGCCTAAACGTTGTTTAGGGTTTAATATACTAATTAAGAAATTCAGGGGCGTAAAAGTCCGGAAGAGCACCTTTGGGCAAGACTGCTTTAAAAGGGGCCACCTAATAATGAATAATAATGAATTGGCTGGGGGGGGTTCTGGAACTAGCTATTAATTATTCAGTTGAGTGATTACTGAAATAACCTCACTTGATTGAATATTCAGCTGTTAGCTAATGTGATTCAGTTACTGGTGTCATTAAGTAGTTGTTGTCTTTGCATGGAGTTTACAAGGACTTTAAGGGCGGCCCTATGAAATTCTTGGAAGAAATATCCCCGCAAAGGAGAGAAAACAGATAGTTGTTCGAGCCCCGGATTATTTCATATTGTAGAGCGGGGACATCGTTCAATCTCAGGGGGAAGCGATTAAGTTAGCTCAACATGTTTTGGGCGAAGGATTGCAGAACACACACCACAACAACATGATTTTCATGGCCGACACACTTGAGCATGCAAAACGTAAGTATCCGGCGGGCGGGGGTGGGGGCATGCTTTCGGTGTCGCATAGTATCGTACATGTTTCACGCAGCATGATTGCCCTGACCCGTGTTTCCTTTCAGCAGTTTTCTCTTGCATGTTTTTTTTCTGCAACTTCGCTTCCGTAAGATGAGGTAAGACTTAGTGCATGGCCAGACATTTGATCCTGCCTCTTTCCCAATTTCCCGCACATGTTCGATTAGGAGCTGCATCCCACATGAGCTTGCTGCAACACTGGTTCCTAGAAGCTAGCAGCAGCCAGCACCACGGACTCAATCTGATGGAAGCTGTGCTCTGTCTCGTTTTTCCGCTGGAATGCGAGGGTCTGCATTGCGGACCTGGGAGGCTGATTCCGAAGTGTGCTCTCAGACTTCCTAGTAAAGGGTTTACTTTACAGTTGAATGTGAACCTGCCAATAACGAATCACCCCCCCCCCCCCAAACACTTGGTTTTCAATCTTGGTCTACGGTGCCAGGGGGTTCTAATAATGAACCATGGGGGTTGGGGTAGGACTCGGTAATAGTACTTGTAGTACTCTCAAACTATTCAAAGCTATTGCCAAAACCATGTCATGTCGAAACTCAGGAATCTTGGAGGTGAGGAGTATTCTTGGCACAGGCTGATTATCGTCAGACCTTGTTCGTTGCCTTCGGGGCTCCGGACGCTTGAAAGCAAGGGTAGGTTTCCGGCCTTGTCCTGGCCCAGCAGGAATAGTTTATTGTCACCCCCTTTATAACAACGTTACAGTTGATGTCTTTGTGCATAGCCCCAGGAACACTACATCCTGCGCACCCTGAGGCATGACTGTTCAACCTGTTGAGGGCCCGGCTGTTCCTTACAAGCCAACCCATCATGCCTGGGCCCCCGTAAACCTGCGACGAACAATGACGCTCTTTGGAGGCGTCTGCCCTAGCCCTAGCATACCCAAACCCTGGACCTGGTACCGCAGCTGGTCCAGCCCTCGCGTGCTCCGTGGCTCCACAAGTTTGAGCATCGCGCAACAAGCAGGATCGACTGAGCACCGCCATGGCCGGCACTTGAAAATCATGAGAAGCTACTGGACGCATGCCGGGCCAACAGTTCATATCATGATGGACGCTTCATCTTGTGTAGCTGTGCGACATCAAGTAGCGTCAAACTGTCTGGGTCATTCTTTGTATCTGAAGCACGTAGCACGTTTTCAAACCTTCGGGGGCGCTGCGGGGATATTTGCTATACATCTTATATTACATTATAGTAGATTATCGTATACTATAGTATACTATAATATGCTATAGCATACTATAGTATACATACTACATATACTATAGTATACTATAATATGCTATAGCATACTATAGTATCCGATTGTGTGTCTCCAGAAGTTTGCGGGTCTCTTTATAAAGGCGCCTGCGTTAAGGATGATCATATTTTACGAGTTTCTAAGGGGGATTTGCAGTTCTAGAAATGCCGAAGCCCTAACTTGCCTCGTCTACTTCCTACGCGGCCGGGATTGGAAGTTTCAGCCTGTTCCGAATTCGTGAGTAGCTTGAACGGCTGGATGCAACATTGTCACAGCTCAGAGACGCATCAGAGCGTCAAAAATCAATCCCAGAACTGCAAATGACCCTAGGAATGAAAGGCATATGAAAAAGGGTCCTGTTTTGGGGTTTGGGCTAAACAAAGGCCCCTAATTCAAGGCAAAGAAGGTTTAGTTGTGACACGACCTCCGCCCTACCAGGGAAAGCAAACTGAAGGGCCAATGTGTCACCGCTTACCAGCGCGCCCTGTTGAGGCTGGATCCAACCCTAGGGCTCCACGTAGGTCCCATGTAATGAGCGCAAATCCCCTGAGAGGAAATGTAGCTCAATATTATTCGGGCCCGGGTCAAGTAGTGGCCAATGAAACACGGGGTAGACTAGACAGCTTGCCAAGCATTTCTGGACTTTGAGCCCTGGGGAGAGCGTCTGAAACAGTTCAGGGACCCTCGTGCTCAATTTATGCCCCGCGAAAAAAAAAGGCGCTCAGGCTTAGTCGGGCAGACAGCTATGGGCACGGGAATCATAGCGGTAATGCGAGGAATGTCCATGGACTCGTACAACGTGTGTGACTACTTTGGGTTTGTTGTTGGTACAGGATCGCTACATGAGACTCAAACAGAATGAACAGCAAAGGTAATGTCGTGAGATTTAATTGAGTTCATGTAGTATTGATTTAGGCCTCATTGGGAGGTAGGGAGAATGAGAGTTGGTTGTACTGTATCAGATCCCATGGTAATCTTCATCATGAAGAAGACAGTTCTCATCACCCCCTCAACCCTTAACCCTAAATCATAGCTGAAGACGTTGATGTTGCAATCAACCTGGTCCCCGTCGAGCGCTTTGGGATGTGGTGGGGTGCTTAACATGATGGGCCTCATTTTGGCTGGCGTGCCAGTAGGGATCCTAAAGGATTCAGGGCATTTGCAGGACACTGATTATGAAAAGTAGCTGGTTACCCGGTTGAAAAACAGACGTAGCAGAACACTGGAGATTATTCCTTAGCCCCCAAAAAGCTAGAAAGGAAATCGTGAACGGATTGTAAACCATCAGATTACTGTTGTGCAAGGGTCTCTCGACGTTTGTTATTCATGACGGTCCCTCTCCCCCATACTGGCACCTGCATACTTGGATCTTTGACATACAAGCCGCTCAGCGGGAACCATCATTTTGAGCGGCAGCAACCTGGCACACAAGTAACTAGTAACGTAGCGTATTCAAAGATGGTTGGGGCTGCGACCCGTTGCTGTTTTTCACAGCCCCGGGGCAGTATGGCATTCAGACATTCTCGCGGATTCTTTTCTTGCCGGTGCTTAAGTGGGACTGGGATTTGAAGGGGGACCCACTCTCTTGAAGATTTTGGCAGCTTGCGAGACATCCCCAAATCAAGTGGGAGTTCTAGGATTCTGGCCATCCGTCTGGCTAGCTAGCCGGAGGATTGCCAATTGTGTTGTTTGAGTCTGCCAAAGCAGACCACAGGCTTGAGATACCCCCGTATAAGAGTCGGAAAGCCTTCGCTCGGGCATCACGAACAGGGCTGAAGCCCGAGCCCTCGAGTTCCTTCGGCGCCTTAGCTCTCAAGCAGAATCGTAGAATCATGAACTTCCCCTCAACCCTTCACCCCAACCCTCGTACAAGTCAGTCATCCTTGAAATCTAAAAATTCCTAGCCCTAGACCATCATCTTTCTGTCGGCACCCTGTGATATCCTCTGCCTGACGCCTGACACCCAGGCCCTACTTGGAACTTTACAAGCCCTAAATCCCCTCAAGCCTTAAACGCTGAATACCAAACCCCAAACCCTGAGACTCCCCCAAAATACACTTTAACTGCTAAACCTGAAATCTTAAATCTCCCTAAGTCCGCCCCCCAAAACCATCATGGGCTCCTCCGAAAGTCGCCCGGAAGCGCCTGCTCCGCTGCCAAGCGCCGCACGTCGCCTGGGCTTCCCTTGGATTCTTTTGAAGTCTTCGTGTCTTTCTGTTGGGGGCGAGGGACCCAGGGATCAGGGGTGAAGGGTCCAGGAGCAAAATCCATAGAAATCATGTTATCCTCTGTCTCAATAATGTTCGGAAAGCTCCTACATGAGGGCCGTAGTATGTTGGGCCGTTTTCGGTTTAGGGAGTAACAACTCCTTGAAGAGGAGTGACAGGACTTTAGGCTTTGTCTGAGTCTAACGGTCCTGAGGTGACCTTCGTGTGCTCTCCTTCCAATTCGGCAACAGAGACCCAAAGACTTAGAGCCTATTTTGTTCACAAGGCTGGCTTCGGTTGAGAGTTGATTGTGCAGACTGGACTTGTTGGGTCCCTGACCTCAGAATCTGAATGCTATGGTTTTTGCAGTGTTTTCTGAAAATCATGGACTCCCTTCTTGAGGTGTATGGCTTTGAGTTTGCATTGGTTGGACGGAGTGCTGGGTGAACGCTTTTCTCCAAAACTACTCGCTTTGGTTGATCTTGATGTCGAGATTCCAATCAGCGGTGCAAGCTCTTGGTTGCACAGTTTCAGGCTTGAGGGGGTTTCTTAGAATCAGGGACGCGAGCGCAGCCTAAGCCACACTTTGCGCGAGCGTCAAGTTTTTTGGATGGGTTTCTGTAGTCAGGGACTTTGGCTTCACGGAGTAGAGATGAGTCGAGAGCAGCGTGTTTGGGAAGCGCATTGTCGAGCGACGCAACGAGGGAGAACATACAGAAATGGGAGCTCCTCATATGTGTGCGTTTGGGGTTTTCACCTGGCTTTTCACATTTCATCTCAAAGTACATCCAAGGACACCCAACTCATGTACATTGCTCGGGAAGGATATTGTCTGGGGCGCTGCGTGTCCATCACATCCTCAACAAAAGTGAGGAGAAAAGATTGACCCATACCATACTAGGTACTGGGTACCCATCGAAGGAAGATCCAACTTGCTTGATGAATTCCCATGTCCGCCAGCAATGAGAAGTGAGGTCCCCCAAATGCGCCATCGCACGTGCCAGTTCAAAGAGACTTGGTTTAGGTCAAGACCTGAAGTCTCATAGGGCTTGTTGCCAGGGCTGTGAGGGGTTCAAGAGTTCAGAACCACTCCAGCTAGGTCTTCGGGAAGTTGTAATATAAGCTTTGTGACAGTTCACTACCATCCACAGTCTCCGATAGTAATCCATTCCCCTAATATTGAATCCACCCTAATATTAAACAATAAACTCAGGGGCCTAAAAATCCGGAAGGCACACTAAAAAGGCCCGGACTACTTCAAAAGCGGCCACCTAAAAATGAATTGGGGTGGGTTGGAATTATGGTTTTCTTATTCAGTAGGTTCATTCAATAATCACAGTTGGCTTTGCACGGGGGCGCGACTCTTGATGAAACGTCGACGATTCTTGAAGAATGCTCACTACGGGAGCGCAATTTTCATTTAAATGTTCAGGATGCTCCGCACGGGAGCACGATTTTGAACAAAAAACGCGGGAAATCTTATAAGGATGCTCCGCACGGGAGCCCAATTTTCGAATCAAAAATTTCAGTATGCTCCGCGGGGACCGCGCTTTTATTCAAAATTTTCAGGATGCTTCGCACGGGAGCGCAATTTGCTTCAAAATGTTCAGGATGCTCCGCACGGGAGCGCGATTTTGAAAGAAGAGGTCGACGGAATTTTGAGGATGCTCCGCGCGGGAGCGCAATTTCCTTCAAGAATTTTGAGGATGCTCCGCGCGGGAACGCGATGTTGGTCAAAATTTTCAAGATGCTCCGCACGAGAGCGCGATTTTGAACGACGTAGTCTACGAAAGCTATACTGACCGACTACCGGGGTACTCCCCTCAAGACCGCGATTTTGAACGAAGACGACGAGCTTGAGCACGATTTTCGAAAATCGGGGCGCGACCAATTCGGTTACAGACCCCTATAGCAAGAATCTAAAGGGAGAACGAGCTACTTTGGATGATTACAACGTGATAAAACGACGATTTCTTTGGGATGCTCTGAGCGAGAGCGTGATTTTTTAGCGATGTAGGGCACGTCCAAAATGTTTGCGCGACGGAAGAGCACGCAGGGATGGCGGGCGACGGCGCATCGAACAATTTCAACCCCACAATGAATGTGGGGAATAATCCCTGCCCCCTATTCAAGACCGCCCTACTATTAAAAAATAAATTCAGGGGCCTAAGAATCCTGAAGATTACTTCTGAAACGGGCCGCCTATAATCATGAGTTAGGGGGTTTCCAGGTCATTGGGGGGCATATAATCAGAAATACAAAGGAATTTGGGATCCCCTTGATGTCCTAGGCTTTGATTGTTTTTCGTAAAGTTTTTTATCAAGCAACTCATATAGAACATTGAATGCGATTTTAGTGGGCTTTATTACAATTTTAGCCAAATCCAACTTGATTGTACGTAGATTTCAATTGTATTAATTACATCTGCATTAATTTCAACTTGATTTCAAGTAGGGTTTAATTGGTTCAAGTTGAACTTTCAATAGACTTTGAGGACTTTAATTGGATTTTGCTTTGATTTCAATAGCTTGTAATTGGATTTAAAGTCAGTTCATTAATTTAGATGTAAAAAATTCGATTTCAATTGTTTTCATTGCATGTTAATTCGGTGTCAATGAATCTGAATTGGAATCTAATTGATTTTAAACGGCATTTTGATTAGCGTTAAGTCGGTTTTTGAGTGAATTTCCATTCGTTTCTCATTAGACTTCAATAGAAAGGAGATTTAAAGGGTTGCAAAAAGGCTTTGCGAGGCAGCCCTATCTGATGCTTTCAATAAATGTCCCCCCCTGATATCTAATAGTTTTTTAGGCCCGGGATTCTTCAATATTAGGGACGCTGGTGGAGAGGGGGGGGACGTCGTTTAATATGAGGGGGAAGCGAGTAGTCCTGAAGTGGGAGAAGGTAAAGACTGCGTCAGCCTCGTGGGATAGTGTTCCTGCTTTCCGGTCGGGTTTGGCATTTGAGGATTATAGGGACTTTGGGCGCTGTTGGATCCAGGGCTTGTTGAGTTCGGCTAGTCTGCAGGACGGATCTTGTTTGAGCTAGTGCACCTTCTTCAAAATTGTGGGGGGCAAGAGTGTAGTAGCAGTCATATTCTGTTCGGAAATATTTTTTGCAGGGGAGCTGTAGCTCAGGGGGACAGGAAAATGCCTTTGGCTGTACAACCAGCGCGACTGCTGGAGCTACTGCAATGCTGGTTCTGTTTTTGCGCGATCTGCGCCTGATAGTTCTAGTGCCAATGCTACTTCTACCGCTGACACTGTTATTGCCGCCTATTACTACTGCCGCCTTCTACTCCTACTCTTACTATTAGTATTGCTTTTACTATTGCTAGTAATCTTACTCTTACTCTTACAGTACTTTCACTCTCACCCTCACTCTCAGTCTCACTCTCACTCTCACCTTCACTCTCAGTTTCACTCACACTCTCACCCTCACTCTCATTCTCACTCTCCCTCTGACTCTGACTCTTACTCTTACTACTATTACTGTTATTCGTATTTGTACTGCTGCTGCTGCTGCTGCTGCTACTACTACTACTACTACTACTACTACTCTTGTCGCTGCTGCTAAGACTATGCAAGTTTTACTGCTACAACAGCAGCCCAGGAACGCACGTTCCCCAGGCATCTGCGAAGAACGCGAAGCCTGGCCTAGGCGCTCCAGGACGGGGGTGGGCAGGGTCAGAAGGGTTTGCGGTTTAGCTTGGGTGTAGGAGTTTAGGGGTCAGTGCTTTAGATTTTACATCGGAGCTTAGGATTTCAGAGTTTAGAGTTTTTTTATGACCGCCTTGCGCTACCGATGCTTCCGCTGTACATGGAAAACAGTCGTGCTTCGCGCGTTGGCGCGGCCACCAGCTTGGAAGAGAAAATAGGATGGTTTCTAAGGTATTGAACTTATCCTGAAAATCCTTATGGGAATGAGAGGGGTACTCGGAGTGTAGGGGCTTAGGGTTTAAGATTTGTAGGGTTTTAGCGGCTTGTGTTTCTGAGGGTTTTGGGTTGTGTTAGTGTGTTAGGGGGCTGAGGATTTCAGATCTTCCAACGCTTGTATTTTGGGGATGGGGGATTTGAAATTCGGGGTTCCAGGGTTTTATGCGTTTGGGCTGTAAAGTTTGGAGGGTCAGTGGAATTTGGCTAATGTGGGTTCGGGGGCCTGAATAGCTAGAAAAGCCATATAACTTGCCATTGAACGTTAAGGATTGTGGTTTTCAGGTTTACCGGCGCCTCGCGAGATATGCTACTTCTTTTTTGTCAGGATAAGCCATTCATTTTCTATTTGGAGAAGCCCCGTTATCGAGCCTCGCATGCAGGTTTGACCGCAGTAGTGGCATCACGAGTAGCAATGCTATGAACACCCACTGGTGGCAGCATTGATGGCCGTAGTGGTAAGAGCTGCAGTACTTGAAATATAGCAAAACGTCATATAGCATATGCTGACTGGCTGGGCAACGCTGAGCATGACACGGCACCCACTGCTCTCACAAGATTGTAAGCATTGCGGCTATGTCATGGGGCTGTACAGCACAAGACCCTTTGTTATTTTACAGCAAGCCTTGTGTGGGCCCCGTTTGAAGCGGCTCTTGGCAGAAGCTGCGTGAGATTGTCTCTTAAAGTCACTTCGTGCGGAAGGAAGCTAGCAGCTGGACCCCTGTTGACCGGGCTTTGTTCGGCATCCCTGTTGTCCCTTGGGTGATACGGTCCTGTCGCCAAACTTACTTGGGATGTTGCAGGATCTCAGTGCCTGCCAGAAAAATCATTGGGGCCTTAAGTAAACCCTAAACCCTAAACCCTTAACCGTGTAGGGGCGTCGGAGCCAGGATCTGCCCTAGATCCGAACCCCAAACTGACTAGGCTGATACAAGAAGCGCGTAACGGCGTAGGGATGTAGAGGGTGTAGCTGGCTGTTTGTTCCTGGTCTTTGAAAATGTCTCAGACGCCCGTGTAATTGCAATAGATGCCGTTTACAGTTGCAGGAAGAGAGACCGGCAACCTCTGTTTAAATCAGCCCGAGGAGGAGGTTGTGGGTAGTCTTGAACAGGTGGGGCGACAATAGTGCTTTACAGTATGTTTGCGATGACTTGCCGCTAGGTCCCTATACAACACCCCCGGACACGTAACCCTCAAGCCCTGAGACGAACAGGACACATCTACGACTTCGTGGGAGGTGGCCTTCATCTTGGCCAAGACACGCTAGCGGTGAGCCCTGACAAAGATGCAGAGCGACAGCTGCAACTTGCCTGATAAAGGGTTTTCGCAACACCAACCGCTTAAAACAGGGACCGCGTAAGTAGCACATCTGACATGAGTCCTCTAGGGGGGCATTGTCTGAAGTGGGGTTACCAAATTCCTGTTTTTAAAGCTATTGACGCGGAAGAAGAGGATTCGCATCTTGAAGCATTTGAGTTTTAGACTGCTAGTGCTTTATGGGAGGTCCTGAGGTATACTTCGCCCAGGTTTGGACTTCTGGACTTTAGGTCGTACCTTGCAACGCAGGTCCAAAGGCAGGTAAGTATAGTGCGAAACAGTTTTCTTATCTACAATGGCGGTTGCAGAGTTAGCGGGGACAACGGGATATGGCAGTTTCCCAAAATAAGGGGACCTTGATATATGCCCCAAAATACTCTAATCCTTAGTACCGCAGTATGGGGACCCTTCAAATTACCTGGTTGAAGCTGAGGTTCTCCTACCTAGGTCCAAAGCAATACTGAAATGCAGATCGACAAGTTGCAAGGCGTAGGATTTGTTGAGGCTCCCAGTCCAATAACAAGGCTGGTCTGATGACCCCAACCTCCAAATAACACTTCTTATTGGTGATTTCAGGTTCTGACTTGAATGGTTGAGGATTTCCAAGGTTGGGTCGACAAATAGCTATTTCTTCAGAGAGGAATCCACCCATGCAAGCATCTTGAGAACGCCCCATGCGGGCGCTCAAAGTAGAAGTATTACAAGCCTGGACCGGAAGGTATGTCCCAGAAGTCCTGCGTTGCAAGACCTGGGCCACACACTAGGCGCCCACATCCCACATGCCAAGGAGCAGGCGAGCTTCTGACCAGAAAGGCCTGGTAAGGCACTCCTTGGAGGTGGGCCGGTCTTGATGTGGGGGCACGTTTCTCCTGTTCAGTTGCATACAGCTGAGATGTATGGAGATTGACTGGAGTGCCTTCTGTGGAGGTGTTTGGAGTCGAAATGAGGAGTTTTCATATGTGTTCCCGTGATTCGCGGGCAGGTTCGCGTAGCATCATAGTACCATCTCCATTAATGATGACTCGACAGCTATTGGTTCGTATTCGGCTGCCGCGTCGAAGGCTTGCGGCGCCAAGAACAGGTCCACAGGCTATCCTCCTCCAGAACTGCAATGGTCTTTTCAATAAGGACATTAGGGATTTTAGGAGGTGATGAGTTTCTTTCTCCAACGGATTCCTGCATGCGGAAAGGAGAGGGTCATTTCGCTCAGCCACACAGACAATGGAGCTCTAGAGGTTTATCGAACTCACAGCTCCACTTCCCGGAGTCCCTACAATAATGCCTCTAGCTATGGGGCGGCTAGGAGACCATTTCAGCTGTCAGCAGCTGTTCTATATAATCCTCATATCTAATACCGTATATCAGATTCTTTCGCAGTCCGCTGAACTCTTCTAGAACCCTACACTCTAAACCCTAGTAGAAGTCTGATCAGACCGGAAAAGGGTCTTTTGGGAGCGCCCAGGTAGAGATCACTTCCTCCAGAGGGCTGCGAAATGCTGACTGGGTGCCCTTGGTCGGTGGGACCTCCGATCCTTACTGCCTTTGCCAGGCACTGCTTTGGGAAGTTCGGGATAGGAAAGGGATAGATTCCCAAAGAGGACCTACTTTTGCAGGTTCAGTTTCAGGTCCATGGCCCTACAATGTGAACCGCTGTTTCCATTTCATGCTCCATGTTCTTCTTCGTTTGATTCTCCATGATTCGAGCATCATATCCCTAATCCGCTCTCTTGATTCATGAAGGTGAAAGGCACCCGCCCCCCACAGCAGTAACCTCGACCCATCTTTCTGTTTCAATTGGATGCTGATGCATTTTGATTTGTTTTAACTGATGTTGCGGGTTTTATTGGTTTTGAACAGACTTTGATAGGTTTTGAACTGAGTAACTTAGATCTTACGGGGTTGTGATTAAAACTCATTTGTTGTCGTAGGTTTAGATTGCTTATTAATACACGTTAATTTGATTTTTTGATTTTAACAACGTTTCAATTACTCTTGGAACGGCTTCTTTTGATTTTGCATGGGTTCCACTGCAAAAGATGCGAAACTAATGACCCTGAAAACATTTGCTATTGTTAAGGGGCTTCTCGATTAAGGAAGAGCCTGTCATGCAAGGTCCATAAGGGGTAGCTCAGGAAAAATATTTGAGCTTGTAATTCCTAATTTTAACAAGCAATTGGGGTCTCAGAATCAGTTCTCTTATTGGGGATTTTTGGTTTCAAAATTCAGCCTCAAGCAATTCGGGTCGTGAAATCAGCTCTCTTAGTGGGGATTTATGGTTTCAAAATTTGGGCTCTGGCTTTTTGAGCCTTAGAATTGGAAACCAACATAAAACCCAAACCTTGCCATTTTTAGGGTCTGGGAATAATTTGCTTCAAATCTGGCACGTTTCTGGGCCCGGAACTGCCTCTACCTTTGAAGTTCTCTTTGCCCCAATGTTTGCCCAAAAAGTGTGCTTCAAATCTAGGGGGTTCATGAATCAAAAGCACGGATTATGCCGCAGTAATGGTGAATCAAATATGATATAAAACGGAACATGAATTGAAAACTGAGTGTTATATACGCGCCATGCAGAAAAAGCTTAAGCAGACTCATGTCATGGGATATAGTTCTGCTGGAGAGTAGTACACCCTAAGCCCCTGAGTACTCGCTCTTGATGTTCGCTTCCAGTCCTTAGATGGGGATACTGGTAGATTATACCTTCAATGTATGCCAGAGCCTCATTCTAATGACTCGGGCCTCTCCATTCAATGAAGGTTCGAAGCAATAAGAGGGCTCTGGTAACCCCAGTGGCTGTTATGTGAATCGAATAGGGTCATAGTTTGGAGTGTTGGGGCTACCTCTTTCCAAACCCTATATAATCTTATCACCCCTATAGAAGCTCAATTTCCATGTGATTGTTCTCTTGACTATCCATTATTCCGAGCCCTAAACCCGAAACCGTAAACCGAGACCCTAAACTCTAAGAGTTCCTGGAATTGTAGTAAATGCTTGCACTCGCATGCAGGTGCAAGGAGCGGGAAAGACCAAATATCAGACCAAGACTGTGGACAACTGCACAGAACCAGTGTGGAAGGAGCCATGTCACGGGTTTTAAGGTTTATAGTTTCCCTTAAATAGATAGAATATGGTTTTGGGTATGTTATAAGAAGATCCCCATATAACCCATATTCTATCTACTTAAGGGGGACTATAGGCTGTAGGTCTGGGTTTAGGGTTTAGGAGTTTAGGGTTTGTTTAGGGTTTAGGGTCTAGGAGCCATTCTACCGGGTTCAGGGCCTACTGAGGGGGCTTCAAGGGTGGAGGTTGCCAAGGCTTAATGGCAGCATTATGCCTTAGATTTCTTGTATCATTAAACCGTAAACCCTAAACCTTAAGCCCCTGAACCCTAAACCCCTAAACCTCTCAACCCTAAACCCTAAAACCCTAAACCCCTAAACCCTAAAAACCGAAACCCTATAAACCCTATAAACCCTAAGAGTTCCTGGAAAGCCCCAAGATGATGCTGGCAACTATAGGTGTTGGATCTATTCGTCACGGTTGTTGGAGAGGAAGGGTTTAGGGTTTAGGGTTTAGTCTTTAGTAGCAGAAACATACTGGTTCTTAGTAGGGAGTAAGGGAACACATTATACAGGATTATCTAGGGATTATATTCCCTTAATCCCTACCAGGACCCAGTAAGGAAACTCAGTCATGAAGTTATAGTCCCCCTTAAGTAGATAGAATATGGCTTTGGGTGTATTATAGTAAGACCCTCATATAACCCATATTCTATCTACCTAAGGGGGACTATAGACAGCAGTGTAGTAACATAGCCTTTGGCATGCGTTGCCGAGGCAGACTCAGCCGCCCAGCCTGTCAAAGGCAGCATAGGCCCTAAAACAAAAATGAACCTTGGTTTACGATTTAGGGCTTAGGGTTTAGGGGCTTAGGGGTTTAGGATTTAGGGCTTAGGGTTCAGGGGTTTAGGGTTTAGGATTTAGGGTTTAGGATCTAGGGCTAAGCATAAGGTTGTTGGGGGGATGTTCCCAAGTTTAGTTTTCGCTGTTTTTCAAGTGCCTCAGATGTGATATCCCTATCTGTTTGTTTGCTTATCTTCTTTGCTGTGGCCCCTACCCAAACCCTAGAGCTTCAATGTCTGGCTTGGCCCTGTTGCAAAAATCAAGTTCCATGACACTACGTAGGGTTTAGTTTAGGGTCTAGCGCATTCGACTTCAAGCTTGGTGTCACTAAGTTATGACTATGCTAGCATAACATGGCCTCATCCTTCAGAAAGCTGCCCATGGAATTCAACATGAAGGTGGTTCCTGAGGGCAGTGGAGTAGTTCTACGAGGACAAGAGTGAAAGATCAGGGTCGTAACCTAAGTGTGACAACTCTAGATGAACTATAGTCTAAACTCCTAGTATCCCCCTTAATATCCCCTATAGTAGTTCCCTATATAATCCCCTATATAACCCCCTTTAAGGAGTTTAGACTATAGCTCAGATGATCTTGGAGAAGCCGCCTAGAAGCCCGAGATATTCCTCACTTGAACCTTCGAAGCCTCTACAGAACCCATCATTCTGCAAGGAGTCATTCAGCGTCGACGACTTCTACGAGGGTGACGTACTCCTGTTCAAAGTGTGCCTTGGGTTTTGTCGAATCTTAAAACGGTGGTTTCTCCAATGATGGCTATGTGCTGTTATGGTGTATTTAGAGGTGGCATCCGAGGACGCCGCTCCCCTTCGCTATAGATGTAATCTTGTTTGGCTTCTTTGTAGGTAGTGAAGTACTGCGCGGAGGGTTTCAAGCAAGTGGAACAAACCGGGGCTCTGCTTAAGAATGTTCATGGTGCCTCTGAAGGCCTTACTATCCAAACACTGATAGCAAACACTGGTAGGAGGTGACCAGACGCACCAGTGATACAGTGCATCAGGTGACATTCGCTATGTAGAACTCACCCGACTGCTATCCATTCGGCCATTCATGTGATTTGAGGGTTTGGATAGCCACCGACCTTGTGCCCTGGGTGTTCATGTGGGCCTGACATAACTGCTCGGATAGGGGTCTTGGAGTTCCCAATATTGCGACAAAAAACAGCAACATCTACTTCCTCTCAAAGCAGCGCAGGTTTCCGCAAAGACACGCGCGATACTGTACAATCTTGAACGCTTGCAACTTAATCGAATCCTTGCGATATAACCAAACCCCATTCTATTTCTTTGGGGTCCCTCATCAAGCTCTTGCTGGGTCTTGTTGGTGTTCGTGGCCAAACGAGCTTTCTCAATTCCGCGGCCCCTGCGGCCAGAATCGATTATCCATCTTAATGCGAATACTGGGCGAGGTTGTACAATTAGTATTAAAACCCCTCTCACCGAAGATTGTACGCAAGCCTTCTCAGTATCTCTTGAAACATGGGAGGAGCCAACAGAACGAGAAGAAGAGAAAAAAGTGATGACCAGCCAGATCCCTTTTCAAGGACACTACGTAGAAAAACGATTACCCATGTTCGGTATGAAGAGCGTGCATGTGTGTTGTTAATACAGCGCAAGGTGGCACGTTGCGGTGATTTAAGTCCTCCCTTTACTGTTGTACACACGAACCTACTCAAAAAATAGCTTCGCCCGCCTTTAACAGTACCACCCAGCATTAGGAGTCTTCATAGTCACAGCGATAGTGTGCAAGATTGGGAGTTTGTGCTGCAGCACGTATGAACCAGGAATCCCGAAATCCTACCATTGCATTGGTAAAGCGAGCTGCTCTTGCATACCGGCTCCAACATACTTTATACTTGATGCTTGATCCCCTCTCCTTTTCTGAGCTTTTCCTGTAGACTTGTATGTGACATGCAAAAATAGCATGCAATTTCAGGGGCAGGGGTTGCTGACTTCTGGGGAAGGGGGTTGCCAGAGCACCGATGAGGTTTGATGAAGACACGGGAAAGGAGGATGACTTTCTGGGGCAGGCGGGCAAAGCCCTACCTGTTGGCTTCTTTCGAATTAAGGTCCAGGATCCAGGATCTCCAGTTGGCTGCAAGGACATTATGGCTCGGGTTATCGGCCGAAAAGATCATGAAGTATGGTATAAATCCCTATATTCCCCCAGTTTCCATTTCATTTTCCATTTTCTTTTCCATTTGATTCTCCATTATAGGGGGATGTGTGAGATGACCTAGAGCCGAGAGAGGACATGACAGGATGTCTGACATTTGAAGTCGGCCATTTGCTGTCCTGGCTACCATAGGTTGTTAATCTATTTAGACAATCCAGGTTGCCACTGCATCCACTGAATCATCGCCGAATCGAGGGGCCAAGTCTTCATTCTAGACTTAACTTGAAGTCAAAAGCCACTACAGTGTGCGTTTTTTCGTATGTGATTGAAGAGACAGGATCTAGATCCTGAGGGGCCGTGTCTAAGCCCATGAGATAGCCATGTTTGCCACAAGGGCTGGATCATATGTGCACCTGCAGAATCCAGGGGTTGAGGGTACTAGGGGGCTTGAGAGTGGGATGGAGGGACTTCGCGCGTCAAGTTCAAACAAGGCCTTCTTACATAATTGGTAGTTTCCCTAAATAGGGGTACCCCAATATAGACCCCAAATACAATAGTCCTTATTATAGGGACCCCCAAAATGGTATCCCTAATTTTGGGAAACTACCAATTCTTCTTTGTTAAGAGCTTTCATGGGCATGGCCGGAAATACAGCTTGATCCCGGAATCCGTGGACCTTGGCAATGAATTTGAAGCCCCAAGGCCTCTTGGGCGTACTGAAAGGTTTGCTTAGCCATACATGCCCGGTTCATGCAAACGCGTGGTAGTTGTGTTCCTGCCTGTGCGGGGGAAAGGCTTATTCAAGCGCAAACTGCAAACCAAGCTTTTCAGTCAAGAAGCCTTAGAATTGAACTTGCGATGTCAGCGCCAGCAGCGCTGCTGCAAAGCCAGGTGGAGCTACCAACTTGCGCAGCACGCTGGATCGAAATGGATTGGTTTTAAGTGGGGAATGAAGGAACGAAAGGGCGAATAGAATAGGGGCTACTATTGGGATTCATTTCTCCAGTGAGTGTCCGGGGCTTTGAGAGTCAAGAATCGCGTCTAGGTCCAGGGTGGCCTTGTACTTACAGTACACGCTGCATTTCGGATAATTTGTATGGGTGTTGCCTTTGTGCGGCCTTAGCCTTAGCTGATGAGAGCTCCTCGTAGGGTTCACGGGGTTCTCAGCAGTCCGACACCGTGTACTGTCATTCACTGTCAGAGGTGGCTGTTTGATTTATGAGTGCTGATGTGGCTGCGCATCCCTAAAGTGTATTGGTAGCATTCCGGCTACCATAGCCTCGCCTATTCCATGTGAAGTGAATACTGGTAACTATTCACTTTTGAAAGCATTCGAACAAATTACGCCTCCGTACAGGAGGCTTGCGCAACAGCATGGCTCCCTGCTTGCAGTGTCCCAGGGCGTGCTGCGTCCTGCGAAAGATAGATACTCTACAGACTTGCGAGGCAAATTCCCCCTTTTATTTACCTTCCGCAATTCGTCTAACAGTTGCAAGTACTATGCGGAAACAATGTCAGCCATCATCATGGCTCCCGCAGTATCGCCCCGAGCATTCTTCCCTGATCACTTGGAGACCCGGCAACTTAATCCGGGTTGCTGTTAAGGAACTTAAATTAAGTTACTATATTGGGGAAACCCTATTATTTTTTATATATATACCCATTGTGGTAACTTAAGTTAAGTTCCTTAACAGCAACCCAGTAATGAATTCACGGCAGATCCAGGCAGCGTTGACTATTGGGGGATGGTAGTAAGCCTCAGCATCATCTTAGAGACATGTGGTCAGAAGCCATCCAAGAAGTCCCTTCTTGACGAGCCTTCCCGACTTCGTCCGAACAATAGCCGTCTAAGGCCTGAAGCACTGACGCAGAAATCTTCAAATCCTCAACACGACATTTTCACCCCAACCCAAGAGATCCCCAAGCTTAAGCCCTCAGCCATAAAAAGGTTCTCATCCCACAATTCTAACATCTGACTCAACCCCCCAATCTTCGACCCAAACCCTTCAACTTGCCTCCCACCCTACACCTGAAACCTTAAACCCTAACCCTTGAACCCTAAACCTCAAACCATGCGGAGGGTGGCCCAGGTGCTTCCCAACGGCTTTCGAGGTGAGCTCCGGCTTCACAAAACGAGCTATGATGGCTCAGCCCGCCGGCTACAGGTATAGGTTCAAGGGTTTAGGGCCTGTAGAGTTCTGGGTTTTAGGCTCAGGCTTTAGGGCTTACAGGATTTACGGCTTATAGGACATAGAGCTCATGGGGTATTGAGCTTAGGGTCTGGGGCCTATTGGGTAAGAAAGGCTGATGGTTTAGGGTAGACTCAAGGCCCTCTGGATCATCGGTGACATGTCCATTTGGTTTAGCAATGCCACAACAAGGAATCAGGCGAATGGTTCAATGCTTAGGTAGGTTTGGGCTTCTACTTACGTCAATCCCCCCTGTAGTCATAGCTCCTTAATATGGAGTTAATAGTGCCTTAGTATAATCTACGATAGTCCCTTGCAGTACCCATTACTGGGTGGAGGATTGACTCAGGATTCTATGTAGAGATCAGGTTTAGGGAGAAGATGACACGGCCGGTAACTAGCCGTGCTATACTATCATGGGTTCCCCTACTACCCCCCCCTATACTTCCCCCCGGCCCTGTATAGGTTCCCCCTTCACTATCTCATTCAGCTTAATTAGGCCCAATTATCCTTAAATAACCTCAAACAGGGGGGAACCTAGGGGGGTAGCATAGAGGGGGGGTAGAAGGGGCACCCATGATACTAGCATTCCAGGCGGTTTCTCAGGCGAGAGGAATGTCGCTGTTTATGTGAGGCTCTGACGAGCTTCATCTTTTGAAGTCCCGTTTGCATGAATTCAGTTTAATGATTGGCGTATATGGGATAACTACTATGATTTCTGCAGCAGGGATGTACAACATGGATTCGGACATATCGAATGTGAACGATAATAAAGCAGCTTTGGTCATCTGAAGCCCCAGAATTAGAGGCCTAGAGCTTAGGTGGACTCCCCACCCAGTTATCGTGACTATAAGGGGTAATGGTAATTGTATTAGGGTCCTCTTATAGTCCTATTATACCACTATTACAGGGTGTGGGGTCCTCCTAACCTACAGCTATCATACAACCCCATTTCATTTATTCCTGCCCCCCAATATATCCCAATACCCTATTCCATTTATTTAGGCTCCTACGTTACGTTGGGCCTTCCTTTGACGGGCGTAACCGTTTGAGGTCCCAGCCCCCAAATGTTCCTAAGGACGCAGCGAAATCTTGAACAAGTACAGACGGTGTTCTCCTACAGTCTAGAGCTTGCCAAGTTTTAGGCACGTTGGGGGCTTCTGGCCTGCGCAGACGCCCAACGGACACACAAAGTACCTTAAGTGCGGGTATAGGTGATTCTTCAGTATAAGGGATCTTCTCAACCTAAAGTGCCTAGCATCCTAAATGGAGGGACCCTCATCATCCACTCATATTCTATGTCCTGCATATGCCTGCCCAAACTCTTGATGTAAACCCTAAACCCTACTTGGTGTACATGCATGAGTTGAAGCATTTCGGTGTCTCCCAAGTTGAGGAATTTGTTTGGGAGCCCGTACACGACGGAGTATAGCGTTTTGGAATCTACCAGGGAGATCCTCATCTTTTCGCAATGCCAGGTTGCCTGAAACCCGAAGCCCTACCATCCCAAATGCTATAGTTTGCAGACTTACCGCGGGGCTACACATGAAACACCGTTTCCAGCAGCTTAGACCTCATACTACATCCTCAGGATTCGGTGGAAGCTTACTTAACCGTGTCTGTGGCCGTCTACGACAGCCGCCTGGAATCAAATCCGCAACCTGGCTCTGACATCCAAGAAGTTTTGTTCCAGGGGGGGGCGGCGGCGGTGGTAGTGGTGGTGGCGGCGGCGGCGGCAGCGGTGGCAGTGGCGGTGGCGGTGGCGGTGGCGGTGGTATCGGCGGTGGCGGCGGCGGTGGCGGCGGCGGTGGTGGTGTTGGTGGTGGCAGCAGCGGCGGCGCTCTTGCAGTTGTGCCGCCAGTAGAAGCGGCAGCAGCAGCAGCAGCAGCAGCAGTAGCAGTAGCAATAGCAGGAGGAGGAGGAGGAGTAGTAGTAGTAGGAGTAGTAGTAGTAGTAGTAGTAGTAATAGTACGGCGAAAACCGTAGGTTTGCCCGGAGACATCCTGATCCACTGGCAGGGGCAGTGATTTTGCAATCGAGGC